CGCGCTAAGCTAAAGGAAATATAGACCCGAGCATTTTGTCAAATTCTGAACGCGAACATTATTTTGTAAATATTTTTTTAAAGCGAACACTTTTCAACTTTGAGAAGAAGAAAAAAAAGCTCGAACATCTCTTGAATATCCGAACAATCTTTTGATAAACTGAACACTTTTTTGAAAATCACAAACATTATTGAATATGTGAACAAATTTTAGTTAAAGGCAACAATTTTTGAAACTCTGAACAATAATTCGGAAATCCGAATAGTTTTGGAATCCGTCAACAGTTTTTGAAACAAGAACATTTTTTTCAAACTCAGAACAAAATTTGAAAATGAAAGCATTATTTAATTTTCAAACATTTTTTGAGAAATATGAAGAGTTTTATCAAATCAAGAACATTTTTTACAACTGTTATAATTCGTTAGCATTTTTAAAGAAATTCGACCATTTTTTTAAACTCCCAAACAAAGTTAGAAACAGACACATTCTTGAAAATGGCGAACAAAATTTGAAATAGAAACTTTTTTGAAGCTACCGAACAAAACTGGAAAACACGAACATTTTTCTTAAATTTGCGAATGAATTTTGAAAGAGGAACGTTTTTTAAAACTCCTATTTTTTTTGAAAATATGAACATTTTTTAAATTTTGTGAACAAAATTTGAGAACTATGAATATTTTGTATTTGTGAACAAAATTTGAGAACTAGAATAAATTTTTGAAAGAAAGGATTTAAAATTTAGAACCTTTTTAGAAATCTCAACAAGTTTGGAAATTTAAACATTTTTTCAATACATGAACAATATTTATAAAAACCGGAACATATTTTTAAAAATTAGGAAAAAATTCAATAAGCGAAGACTTTTTTAAAATTTCGAATATTTTTGACATGCAAACAAAATTTGAATAGTTTGAACCTTTTTAAAATTATGAAAAATGAAAAAGTGAAGATGAGGAAAAATAAAGAAAAGAAACTGAAAGAAAAAAGGTGAAAAAGAAAACTTGAAAAAAATAGAAAAGGAATGAAAAGGAAAAGATAGAGAAGAAAAAATAAACAGGAAAAACGAAAAATAAAAACGAAAAACGAAAAAAAACAGAAAAAAAAGTGTTACGAAGCTCCTAGAAGGTTCCCAAAACTGGAGAAAACCGGCTGGGTACAAGCGAGAAGGTTCCTAAAACCGGAATCTTCGACACATTTTACGTGCCGGCCCAGGCGCGAACCCTCGATCGATCTTCCTGTGGGTCCGGCCGACAACTTGCCGCAGCGAGCGGCAAATAGGATATTCCAGCAAATTTTGTTCTGATACATTTTTTTTAGAAGATTTTGTTCTGATACGTGGTCGAGTACATAAAAATCCGATAGAATTAGCCCATACCTCTAGTGAAGGCCCTTATGGGACCTCCTATTTGGCGCTTCAGGAAACGGGGAGCTACGTTAGAGCCCACGCGCTCATGCAAGTGTGCCGGCCCATTTAGATTTCTCTTTTTTTCCCTGGTTCGCTCGATCACATTTGGGGGAAAAAACAAAAAAAAACAATGAATTCGCAAAAAAAATCAAAACATCATGAATCCAAGAAAACAAATCATGAACTTGAAAAGAAGTTTATCTGTTTAGAAAAGTTCATCAAAGTTTTAAAAAAGGACATCAAATTTGAAAAAAAGTTCATCGAATTGAAAAAATTCATCAAATTTGAAAAAAAAAGTTCAATAAATTTTAAAAAGTATATCAAACTAGAAAAGGTTCATTGAATTTTAAAAATTTTCATCGGATTTCAAAAGGTTCATCAAATTTGAAAAAAGTTCATCCGAATTGAGGAATAGTTCATCTAATTTTTAAAAGGTTCATCAATTTGTGAAAAAAAGTTCACAATTTTTATGTAAAACCGCACTTTTAAGAAAACAAGGAAAAAGAAAAAGGAAAGAAAAAAGAAAAGAAAAAGGAAAAGAACAAACGAAACTTTAAAACGAAACAAAAGAAAATAACGAAGTAAGTTTGCAGAAGAGCGTGATAAGCCCCGGTGGTTGCTGCGCTTCATTTGGACGGATGAGGTCACGAGTTCGATCCCGTCGCAACACCTTTCTTTTCAAAAAGTTGACGGGAGAAAAAAAGGAGAATGGTCGGCCCAGAGGGGAGCAGTAGTGGGCGCCCGTTTGTGAATTTCGAATATGGCGCGCTCTCAGCCGCCGCCACGTGTCATGCTCTGGGCGCTCCCTCTGTTTTTGTTTTTCCTTCTTTTTAAATGTTTTTTTTTGGGTTTTTTGGATTTTTGGTTTTTCATCGGTCTTTCTTAGCTTTTGGACAAAAAAATTGGCTGGCTTTTGCACTAATTCGCCGGATTCGAGGTCTAGACTTGATCCTCTGTGACATGTTTTTCGCCCAAACTAGACTTGGCACTGGTGCTTGGAAAAGTATGGCATGCTTCTCCTCGGTATGATCTAACATCATGGGTGAGGAAGGAGCAGCGGGTCATGATTCGTCGCGACATGTTGACGAGGGGTCAAAACTTCAATTCGCCCCAACTGGCCGGTCGAGACGGAGCAGGGGTGTTCTGGCGCAGAACGACGCCGATGTCGATCTGATCTTTGGCCGCAAATGCCATTGCACCGTTGCGACTACTCAGAGGGACCTGCATGGGGCCACCAATAATGGAGTCAAATCCAATGGATCTCATGTAGGGGGTCCCAAGCTAGTAGCCTTGGTATGATGGTAACAGGTGACATGAGGATTTATCCAGGTTCGGGCTCTCTCGAAGAGATAATACCCTACGTCATGCTTGATTGTATCGGTTTCGGGGGAGTACAAGTTACACGTTGATCTATCTACCACGAGGTCATATGTGTATGAGATTGTTCTCTATGGTTCTTCACCTCTCAGTTTATATAGTTACCGGGGATGGCTAAGGTTTACACATAGGCCAGTTACATCTAGGGGTAATAGTGACGAAGACAACCTCTAGTTCTCGGAGTATGCGCCAAGTCTTCAAAAGATACCATTTTGGCGATTCTGGGCCCGACGAACGTGGCCCACTGGTTGATCATTATTGGGGTCGTCGGCTCGTCCCATATGGTCGGGAGCAGACGTGTCAAGCACCCCCTAGTCCAGGACACCATCAGGTGGCCGGTGGGGTGGTGTGCGACGGGGTCACAGTGGCCGCCGCCGCTGCGGTGTAGCCGCCAGGTTGGGGTTGAGAGGTGCTCATTTTCAAAAACATTGTGTGCCCTAACTGGATCTAATAATTTGTGAGAGTGAAGTTGGGTTTTTTATGCCACTGTTGTTCTCTTTGAATGTTATCTCAACCAAACATAGTGTCGATGCAAAGGTGTGTATATTTATTAGCCTATTCATCCTTTTCTCCTATTTGTTCATGGCGTAAAATCATAGTCCTGTGATCTAAAGTCATACAATTACTTACTCCGCTGTAGTTGAGACACTTATTTTAGGACGAATGGAGTACTTTTTTGTTCTGTTGTTGTTTTTGTGCAAAACATCTATCTTGCTTATGGGGTTTTTTTTTTCTTGCTGGAAAGGTCATACCGGTTTCGAGTTCTCTCCTGTGAAATTTTTTAGTTGGATCAAGATGGTTTTAGGAGGAATTCGCAGGTAGGTTTATGTTCCCTTGTGGATGAAAAGGTACATGTATATACTATATGATTGTGGTGAGCTTACTGTTTTGTTTGGGGGTTGATTGGTTCACTCTTTTTCCTTTCATGCATGTGATTCCTATGTTGTAGGCTCGGGTGCTCTGTTTTTTAGATGATCAGATGAAGGGGTTTCCTCTCGTGGTGTTGGTCCGATAGAGAAAGAGATCTTTGTTTGCATTAGTATTGGACTATTGGTGGTGTCACTGTCCCAATTCTATTATTAGTCATCGAGCAAGATGATTCAGAAGAACTTATGCTTTCAGTAAGACGTTCGTGTTTGAGTTATTCGCTATATATATGTAGACAATTTTCCACCAGGAACGGATTATCATGTTTTGCGTTATGTACTGACAAAATATTCTTACATGGGGTCTGGCATCATCTGCTAGCCTTTAATGTAGTGTTTTTGAATAACTTTCCATTCGTTTCAAATTTGTCTTTGGTACAAATTTGTCTCGTGCCCAAGGGCTTACTTTCCAAATTTCAGCAGCTGGTGTCTGAAGGTCATGTATGTCTCTTTTAGATTAGCCCTGCCAAAAGGCAGGTCCGGTTCATGTACCATAGATTTGAATTGCGTTTATTACTTCATGGCACTGTCAAACCTGTAGATGTTGTGCCCGAGTGTTTTCTTCTGTAATTTACAGGCCTTTCAGGTCAAGATTCAACTGATCGATGGATTTGCTGGATGAGGACGTCGATTGGAATCTGCTGCTGTGTCGATACCGCCTTCAAATCTGTTCCTAAATATAAGTGGAATTTCTAGACTTATACTCCCTCTGTTCCAAAATAGATGACTCAACTTTGTACTAAAGTTAGTATAAAGTTGAGTCATCTATTTTGGAACGGAGGGAGTATTTAGGAACGGAGAAGAAGGAAGTGGCAGTATTTTTGCCTTCATTATCAAAGAGTCGATGCTAGGAGAAACTTGTTTAGTAGCTGAATCGTAATCTTTGAAAGTCGTGCATCAAACCGAGGAAGGAAATTCCAGATGGCTCAGCGCAAACACTTTTCATGAATGAAACTTATCGATAGCCATTTGACAGTTTAAACCATGAAGAACAAAGAAAGAAAAAGTGACGGAACACATGTGTACTCAGCATATGACAGGTTTTAACATTGTATGAGCAGGTAAATTACAGGACCATGGAACAAAAACCTGCTCCAATATACGATACGCAGCACCCGATTTCCAGGGTACTTCAACTCCAAAAAGAAACTACTATGGTATTATGAAAACACAAGTTCCATATTATTAAAAACGATGTTCGATATCCGAGGATATATCAGGAATCAGAAAACCAAACAATGATACTGGTAAGCGGGACGCCCAAACGGGCCACAACGCCGGAGGCAGATAGATCAGTACTTGTAGTCCTTGAAGTGGAGGCGCTCGGAGGCGCCCTCGCCGAGGGTGGCATCGCCCTTGTAGGTGCCGAGGGTGGCCTCAGAGTTGGCCTTGCACCTCACCAGGAATGTCGCCCTGGCCTTCTCCTCGTTCTCCCTCTTGCCGGACCAGGCCTTGAGGGTGCTCTGCTGGAGGGCACGCCCGAAGGAGAAGGACATGTTCCAAGGCTTCTTGGTCTGGAGCTTGTTCATGGCGTTCAGGTTCAGGGTTGCCTCCTCCTCGCTCTGCCCACCAGGAAGGAAGACAATGGCGGGGTCGGCAGCGGTCCTTGTTGAAGGTTAAAATAGCACTAACTTGACGAAATATCGTTCTAGTTTTGATGTGTAGGTAAGAACGGTTCTTGCTCAGCCCGTAGCAGCCACGTAAAACTTGCAACAACAAAGTAGAGGACGTCTAACTTGTTTTTCCAGGACATGTTGTGATGTGATATGGTCAAGACATGATGCTATATTTTATTGTATGAGATGATCATGTTTTGTAACGGAGTTATCGGCAACTGGCAGAAGCCGTATGGTTGTCGCTTTATTGTATGCAATGCAATCACCCTGTAATTGCTTTACTTTATCACTAAGCGGTAGCGATAATTGTAGAAGCAATAGTTGGCGAGACGACAACGATGCTACGATGGAGATCAAGGTGTCGCGCCGGTAACGATGGTGATCATGACGGTGCTTTGGAGATGGAGATTAAAGGCACAAGATGATGATGGCCATATCATATCACTTATATTGATTGCATGTGATGTTTATCCTTTATGCATCTTATTCTGCTTTGATTGATGGTAGCATTATAAGATGATCTCTCACTAGATTTCAAGGTATAAGTGTTCTCCCTGAGTATGCACCGTTGCCAAAGTTCGTCGTGCCGAGACACCACGTGATGATCGGGTGTGATAAGCTCTACGTTCATATACAACGGGCGCAAGTCAGTTTTGCACACGCAGAAATACTCGGGTTAAACTTGACGAGCATAGCATATGCAGATATGGCCTCGGAACACTGAGACCGAAAGGTCGAGCGTGAATCATATATTAGATATGATCAATATAGTGATGTTCACCATTGAAAACTACTACATCTCACGTGATGATCGGTCATGGTTTAGTTGATATGGATCACGTGATCACTTAGATGATTAGAGGAATGTCTATCTAAGTGGGAGTTCTTAAGTAATTTGATTAACTGAACTTTAATTTATCATGAACTTAGTACCTGATAGTATTTTGCATATCTATGTTGTAGATCAATAGCTCGCGTTTAGCTCCCCTGTTTCATTTTTGATATGTTCCTAGAGAAAACTAAGTTGAAAGATGTTAGTAGCAATGATGTGGATTGGATCCGTGATATGAGGATTATCCTCATTGCTGCACAGAAAAATTATGTCCTTGATGCACCGCTAGGTGACAGACCGATTGCAGGAGCAGATGCAAATGTTATGAATGTTTGGCAAGCTCGATATGATGACTACTTGATAGTTTAGTGCACCATGCTTTACGGCTTAGAATCGGGGCTCCAAAGACGTTTTGACTGCCACAGAGCATATGAGATGTTCCAAGAGTTGAAATTAGTATTTCAGACTCATGCCCATGTCGAAAGGTATGAGACTTTTGACAAATACTTTGCCTACAAGATGGAGGAGAATAGCTCAGCTAGTGAGCATGTGCTCAGAATGTCTGAGTACTACAATCACTTGAATCAAGTGGGAGTTAATCTTCCAGCTAATATAGTGATTGATAGAGTTCTCTAGTCACTATCACCAAGTTACTAGAACTTCGTGATGAACTATAATATGCAAGGGATAACGGAAATGATTCCCAAGCTCTTCGTGATGCTGAAAATCGACGAAGGTAGAAATCAAGAAAAGCATCAAGTGTTGATGGTTGACAAGACCACTAGTTTCAAGAAAAGGGCAAAGGGAAGAGGGGGAACTTCAAGAAGAACGGCAAGCAAGTTACTGCTCAAGTGAAGAAGCCCAAGTCTGGACCTAACCCTGAGACTAAGTGCTTCTACTGCAAAAGGACTGGTCACTGGAAGCACAATTGCCCCAAGTATTTGGCGGATAAGAGGGATGGCAAAGTGAACAAAGGTATATTTGATATACATGTTATTGATGTGTACTTTACTAGTGTTTATAGCAACCCCTCAATATTTGATACTAGTTCAGTTGCTAAGATTAGTAACTCGAAATGGGAGTTGCAGAATGAACAGAAACTAGTTAAGGGCGAGGTGACGATGTGTGTTGGAAGTAGTTCCAAGATTGATATGATCATCATCGCACACTCCCTATACTTTCGGGATTAGTGTTGAACCTAAATAAGTGTTATTTGGTGTTTGCGTTGGGCATGAATATGATTTGATCATGTTTATTGCAATACGGTTATTCATTTAAGTTAGAGAATAATTGTTGTTCTATTTACATGAATAAAACCTTCTATGGTCATACACCCAATGAAAAATGGTTTGTTGGTTCTCGATCGTAGTGATACACATATTCATAATATTGAAGCCAAAAGATGCAAAGTTAATAATGATAGTGCACCTTATTTGTGGCACTGCCGTTTAGGTCATATTAGTGTAAACCACATGAAGAAACTCCATGCTGATGGGATTTTGGAATCACTTGATGCTTGCGAACCATGCATTATGGGCAAGATGACTAAGACATCGTTCTCCGGAACAATTGAGCGAGCAACTGAATTATTGGAAATAATACATACTGATGTATGTGATCCGATGAGTGTGTCACGCCCAATATGCGACCCTAACCAAAAGAAACTCGAAGGTCCCACCAAGGATAGACCCGCATATTGAAACGCTTTTGCAAGGTGGATACCATTACATCAACATTACATAATAGATGGGGATACATACAAGAGGCATACAATGCCACACGAATACAACATCACATTACATTAGGGCATCATCCAACTACGGATGAAACACAAACAGAAACTCAAACGACATCCACCCTGCTAGCCCAGGCTGCCGACCTGGAACCTATCCCCTGAACGAAGAAGCAGAAGAAGAACTCAACGCAAGCAAGCATCGCTCTCGCGTCATGATCATCGCATAACCTGTACCTGCAACTGTTGTTGTAGTAATCTGTGAGCCACGAGGACTCAGCAATCCCATTACCATGGGTATCAACACTAGCAAAGATTAAAGGGAAAAGAAGGGGTAAAGTGGTGAGGCTGCAGCAGCGACTAAGCATGATATGGTGGCTAACATACACAAATAAGAGCAAGAAGAGAGCAAAAGGAACGGTCGCGAAGCTAGCAATGATCAAGAAGTGATCCTGAACTCCTACTTATGTCAAACATAACCCAGAAACCGTGTTCACTTCCCGGACTCTGCCGAAAAGAGACCATCACGGCTACACACACGGTTGATGCATTTTAATTCGGATCTGGTGTCAAGTTATCTACAACCGGACATTAACAAATTCCCATCTGACTATAACCCCAGGCACGGCTTTCAAAAGATTATACCTTGCAGGGGTGTCCCAACTTAGCCCATGATAAGCTCTCGCGATCAACGAAGGATATACCTTCTCCCAGGAAGACCCGATCAGACTCGGAATCCCGGTTTACAAGACATTTCGACAATGGTAAAACAAGACCAGCAAGACCTCCCGATGCACCGACAATCCCGATAGGAGATGCACATATCTCGTTCTCAGGGCAACACCGGATGAACACTACGTACAACTAAAACCAGACCTCGAGTTTCCCCGAGGTGGCGCTGCAAGTGGCTCTGGTTCGGACCAACACTTAGACAAGCATTGGCCCGGGGGGGCTGTAATAAAGATGACCCTCGAGAGGGCGACTCCCAAGGGAAAAGGTAGGTGGTGGTGAGGCAAATGGTAAAACCAATGTTGGGCCTTGCTGGAGGAGTTTTATTCAAAGCGAACTGTCAAGGGGGTCCCATAAATCATCCGACTGCGTAAGGAACGCAGAATCCGGGAACATAACACCGGTATGACGGAAACTAGGGCGGCAAGAGTGGAACAAAACACCAGGCAAAAGGCCGAGCCTTCCACCCTTTACCAAGTATATAGATGCATTAATAATAATATAAGAGATATTGTGATATCTCAACCAAAATCCTGTCCACCATGGAGCAATCTTCAACTTCACCTGCAACTAGCCACGCTATAAGAGGGGCTGAGCAAAGCGGTAACATAGCCAAGCAATGGTTTGCTAGGAAGGGTGTTAAAGGTTAGAGGTTCATGGCAATCTGGGAGGCTTGAAGAGTAAAAGATAGGTAACGTAGCATAGCGATAGAACGAAGCAACTAGCATAGCAATGATAGTAGTGATATCCAGGGTAGCGGCCATCTTGCCTGAAATCACGCAAGGAAGAAGAACGAGTCCATGAAGAAGACGAACGGATGAAGCCGAACCAAGCGTAGACGAACGAATCCTCACGATCGCAATGAAACAGGAACTATCGAGAAGAAGCACACAACATAGTAAACACACCACACGTGAACAAGACATGATGCACAAACAAGCATGATGCAAGTCAAGACTACATGAAGCTACTCATGGCAAGAGATGATGCAAACAAGAGCAACACATCAAGGCAAGTTTAAATGAGGCCGGGAACAACATATAACAATTCCGGTAAGTCCTCATATGCAAATTTCGAAGTTGGTACAGATCTGAATAAACCTTATGTTCAAATTGTTAAACAGCAAGTTAAGATGCACCAAGATGATCTACACGAGATTCTAGTCAAGTTACATATAAAGTTTATTTAGTTCGGAGCTACGGCCTAGAAGATATGAGCAAAACAAGTAAAACATGGCATTGATGCGAAATGCACCCAAACATCAAGCAAACACCTCAAAACATGGATGCAACATGATAATATGAAACTACATGCAAAATCTTTCATATAGAGCACACTCAAAACGGAGCAACGGTTCAACATACACACACTATACAAGTTATAGCAACAATCTGTCCAAAACAGCAACTAGGCATATTGCAAGCATCAAAACAACATGCTACAGGACCTCAACAAGAAAACAAAAGGCATGGGCATGATGTACAGGTAAAGCATAACAAAACATGAACACTGAGCTATCTCCATAAATCACTAGAACATGCTCAAACACACATGGTAAGATTGCAAATAATATCAGTTTCAGACTTTGCAGAAAATAACATCAGGTTGCAATGTTCAGAG